TTCGTTATTAAAGGACAAGGTTCCTTCAAGGGTGTAATCCTGAGTCCGGGGTCACTTTTTTCTTACAACCGACATCTTAGTGCATTTAAGCACCGGCCTCTGGGTGGTATCGACCCCACCAATGATTATGTGGATGATATGTTGTGGCTTTTCTTGTTCATTTTGCTATTTGAAATTCTTGTTTTTGAAATGGTTTTTGGCCTTGTCACTTAAACATTCTTGGAGGTGCCCTTTGTTGAATAACCGAGCTACCTCCTCTCTTAGTTGCCTGCAATCTTCCATTCTGTAGCCATGAGTGACATGTTATTCGCACATTTGATTGGGATTCCTCTAGGTAGGATCGGTCTGCATAGGTCGAGGCCATTTAGTATCTTTGATGTGCCTGATAGCCGATACGATAGCGGATGCATCGATGCGGAAGTTATACTCTGATAAGCGAGGTGCTTCCTTAGGTCTGGTATGCCTGCCGAACCCATTCCTGTTCATCAGGCCCCGAGACCCTTGGCCTCGATCATTTCTTTTTTCACCTCGTACAGGGTTGCGTGAAGGTTTGCTACCCCTACGATCTCCGTTATACGGCCGGTATCGATCCTTGTTTGACTTTGGTTCTCGGTCGATATCCCTTTTAATATCGGACCCAAAACCCAACTGGTCGTCTTCGACTCTTATTTTGGATTGATACCGATTGTGTACATCAGCCCAAGTAATAGTTGGGTACTCGATCAGGTTATACTTCAGCCACCGTGAAGCTATCAAGCTTCGTTCGTTTAGACCTTGAGTAAAAGCTTGAACAACCCAATCGTCTTTGAATGGTGGCAGATCCATTCGCTCCATTTGGAAGCGAGATACGAATTCTCTTAGCATCTCGTTATCCTTTTGTCTTACCTTGAATAGGTCCGACTTCCTAGTCTCGACCTTTATGGCCCCAGCATGTGCTTTTATGAAAGAATCTGCAAGCATAGCAAAAAAAATCAATAGAGTTAGACAGAAAATTATGATACTATATCATTGCTCCCTTTGACAGGGTTTCACCGAATATTTTCAATAATACAGATTCGATCTCATCGTCCTCTAGATCGTTCCCTTTGATGGCACATGTGTAAGAAGTGACATATTCGTTAGGGTCGGTCGTTCCATTATATTTAGGAATCTCGGGCATGCGAAACTTCTTTGGGATCGGTTTAGGAGCCGCACTCGGGGGGAAAGGCTTTTGTATGAATTTTTTGGAATCTAAGCCCTTCAATATCAGTGGTGCCCCCGGGATTTGATCAACCCTGGAGTTATATGTTTCTATTTTTTTGTCATTTGCCTCGATCCTCCTTTCTCCTGACTCTATTTGTTTTGTCAGTTCTTCGAGCATCTTAACAATTTCGGGATTAGTCCCCGATTCTTGCTCATTTGGCCTTACTATAGCTGGCCCCATTTTGGGGGTGACTTCTTGGGGTGGACTGGGCTTGAGTCTGGGTGGTGCCAGGGTTTGGCTCTGCAACTGGGCTATTGCTACTTGTTGAGCTTGCAACATCTCGAAGATCATACGCAAGTTGATTCCGTTTTCCTCAGCGTTTTGGGTATTTCGAGTTGCAGACCGAGTTCCACCATGAATGTTATTTGCAGGGTCAGAACGTTGGATCGCCGCGATGGACGCATATGAATTGACGTCTATTGGCTCTTCGACCCGAGCTCCAACAGGATCGACGAGTGGCCTTCCACCCCCGGGGTTAAGTTGTTGTTCTCATCTTGAAGGCCAACTTCGTTGTCGATAGGTAGGGCCATTAATTGAGAATTCATCGTTTTCAACCTGAAATCAAAGATACTTCCAAGAGCAAGTGTAAAATGGTGTATTTTGTAGATATTCGTACCAAACAACCATTGTTATCCTTAGCCCCACTATGGGTGCTAAACTGTTTACCCGAAAAATGGATAGAGTTGAATTTATACGCAGTTCTAAGGATACGTGGTATAACTTGGCACAAATCGAAAAATAAGTAGAAATATATTGAGTATTGACTGTATAAGGAATGAAATACGAATCAATATTTAATTAAAAAGTGATTTTATGAACTAGCAAGATGAATCAATGTATAAAGCTCACAAGAGGATAATCTCTACTGTATTTCTCTGTGAATAGTAATATCTGAATATGAGAGCGTATGTATGCCTTAATGTTCGATCATTTATAGAAATAGTAGTTATCTCTCTTATAGTGGAGGAATTCTACTTTAGATATAATTAAAAATACATAGTGGGGATCCCATGATAGATTAATTTTTCTCTAATTTCCGCCAAGATTCTCTCCCTTAGTGCGGCTGTAACGGCTCTTGTCTCCTGGCTCGATCTTGGTCGGATTCAGTATTGGTCGATTTTTGAATTTAGAGCTCGATATTAACTCGAGCTCGATATTGACTCGAGCTCAATATTGGCTCTCGGCTCGGTATCGAATCGGGCTCAATATAGGTCGGTCTCTGGCTCTTAAGCTCGACGACATCGCTTCACTTCATAGTTTGATTTGGACTCGGGATTGGTAATGACTTCGAGCTCGGTATTTGATCGGTCCCAGAAATTTGAGTTCGGTAACTGGCTTCGGATCTCATACCCGATATTACGAAAATGACCTTCGGTCCATTATGTTCCAATCTTGACTAATTATACGAAGGTCGAAACCGATTTTGACCGTTTACAGACATGTCGAATCTCGACACATACTTCAATAATTTCATTACAAGCTCTTTCGGGAAATCAATAAAAGCTACAAATATACTTTCTTATGATGGAAAAAGAAAACGATTTGAGACAAAATTTATGGTAAAACGTATGAATCGCGTCAATATAATTTAGTGGTTCAAAACTATGACATTCATAAAATAAAAGCACAGAAGGTAAAAAGCTACCTATTATGTTTTACGACTTTACTACATTAACTACAATAAACGTAATTTTAACGGCTATAATTAAAATTCTCATGACCGACATAACATAGGCCATTAGCATTTTTGCTAATTTGGCAAATGCCTATCTAATTTCTAGTATTGGTTGGTGGCTTTTCCAACATTTTATGAATAATGTAGAAAAAGTTCAATTACTGCAAAGTGACAAACTTCGGTGCAGTTTTTTCGACCATCCCCAAAATTGCAAGCGTGATTTTGAACAAATGTCACACTTGGTCAAAGGTTGCTAGCAATTTCGACGATAAGATGTGAAAGATCTTAAATAGAAGAGAATACAGAGATATATAGCTCGATGTGTTTGTACAATTTCTTCTTCAAAAGTTGAAAACTCTGACTATATATTTTAGGCCTTTTGCAAGATCAGAAAACACGAGTGATTCGCCCAAAAGCTGAGTACGACCAATTTTGCTAGACCTCTTATTTTATCTGTCTTTGCTGTAAATGACACATTGAATTGCTTTTCAGTTAGTCGTCATTCGGCAATTAGAATTGCATATAATTCATAAGATGAAGTAACCCTCTCAGAGATAGATTCACAATTTTTAGTACGAAAAAGTGTTCTATTACTCATTAGTCATTACTATTTTGTGATAATAAATATAAAGGCAATACAAATTACCCAATTATACTTTGCTACCTCACTAGTCACTACTACTTCCATTTTTTGTTGTTGCAAACAGTTAAAAACAAAGGTTGTCTTCCCAAAGTCCGTGCCTGTATTGAAATCAAAAGGCTTCACCAATGAGGGGCGGATCCCTATAGTAAACCCAATAACTTTTGCATATATATCTTATATATGTATTCAAAAATTAACTAAATATTCATAAATATTTAGTTGTGAATTCAGTTATTTATTGTATATTTACTTAAGGTCGATATAGGAACTCAAAAATTTTAAATTCTTGATCCGCCTCTGTCATCTGTACGCTAGAAGGTTTCATTTACAAAAGGCTAAGCTCCCGTCTAAACATAGATTTATTTTTTACTTTGTTGCAAATAAAAGTTTTAAAACATTGTTTGTATATGGAATTTGATTAGTTTTTGAAAAAAATTTGAAGAAAAATTTTCAAGTTCCAAAAACTGATTTGGGCCAGTTTTAAATAAAATGCACGTGTAAACACAATTTACTTCCAAAAATTATTTTTCAACATAACTTTAATATTTTTTTCAAGTTTCAATCAAATTTATATCCAAACGACTTATTTATTGTGTGGTCGGCTTGATGTCCATTCAAATTGTGGGCGTAGACATACAACATCTGCCGTTAATCACAGGCCCAACTACAAGAATGAGAAACACATGGCTTCATACTGATATATCCGATTCATTCACTTTGATCGGACCTGCCGTTGTAGAATTGATTGTAGAGTTGTTGGCGAGCCGGCACCAAACTACTAATTTGTATGACCATGCTGCAGAAAAAAGTATATCTTAAAAGCATGCAGGCCTAGTTTTTTTGACTGGTTCTTTGGAATTTAGGTCGGTTGCCTGAAAGTGAAGATAATGACACATATAACTAGAGTTCCAAAAGAGCACAAAAACGTCACTATTTGGGTTTTACAAATTTTATGAAGTTAATCAGTTAGTTGTACTACCCGACAAATCAGATTGAGATTTTTAGTTCTTTTGTCTGTTTCTTGATAGAGTATTATTAACTCGAGAAATCTTTTTTTAACACTTTGTTTTTTACATTAGTTGTCAAATTTTGATGGCAACTGTACTTATGATAAGTACTTTGTGCGAGGGAAAAATTGTGAGTTCGAGTCACTATTAATAAGGTGGGGAGTTCTTGGAGGGAGGGAGCCGAGGATCTATCGGAAACAGCTTCTCTATTCCAGGGTAGGGAGGGGTAAAATCTGCGTACACACTATCCTCCTCAAACCCCACTAGTAAGATTATACTGGGTTGTTGTTGTTGTTGTTGTTGTATGCTAATAAAAAAATTATATAATAAGGTGCATGATAGTGTTAACGATGTGAGGTTTTTTTGTGAAAATTCATATGTGCTTAGCTCAAAACGGCAAACATCAGATTATCTGTTAAGAGTATTTTTGGATTGACTATGCTTAGCACAACAGCAACATAATATTTAAGGGTGTTATGGTGCATGAAGCCGGTTTGCAACGTAGAATATTAAAAAAGCAACAAGCTGATCTGAATAGAATTGAATATTATTTCATGATTGTTTGGAGGTCCTATTTGTTGGTAATAAAGAAAGGCTGGAAGAACAAAATGGGAAAGAACCAGAATAAACTTTTTCCAGCTTTGCTGGTAAGTCTTCCATTGGTGATTTAGATATTAGAATTTGCCAGTTGTACTTTCCTATAATTTTATTTCACAGGCCTCTAGCGGCAAAATAAAATAAAGTTGGTTTCTTGACATCCACTCTAGGATCCGTATGGGGTATTAATATTCACTCATCTTTTATAAGAAACACTCCTATCACATTGAACCCTTCACATTCAAGCTTTTTCTTGATTTCTTTCCCTTTTTTGGACCATGTGTCGTTTAGATAGGATTATGTTTAAGTATTTAATTTTTCCTAGTTGACCCCTTTTCTATAAATTCATCACTACTTCACTTTGGATAAAGTCTCCTATTTTCATTCTTCTTTTTGATTATTAGTTGGGATCAATGATCAGTGATCAGTGATCAGCTTTCATTCTCTGTTAACAACCTGTTGAGATGGAAAAAACTAGAAGAAGTGATGAATCAACCATGTCTAAAAATGCAGATATTTCATTAGAAAATGAATTGGGTTGTGGTCTAATGGGTGCTTTTTTTCCAAGAAAAAACTCTAAGCCAAATACATCAACTATACCACCAATTCCAACCAAGATTAGTGACACCAATTCTGTCAAGAATTCAAGAAACGGGCGAAGCAGTTCTTGTGGTAAGGCATGTTTGGACTCCAGGAAATCAACTAAGCCTTCACCGAAACTAGGTGACAAACCATTCAGAAAATCATCCTTAAATAGTTCGAGGAATTCAAGTTCTTGTGAACAGAATAATATTAGAAGATCTTCATCAGATGGTACGAGAAACTCGAATAAAGCATCATCCAATTTTTCTAGTGTGACCAGGATGACACAAGTTGTGAACTTAGCATACACACAAAAGCTTAGAAGAGAACCATCTTTTACCTCAACTGATTTGAGCATGACAATCTTTAGCCATCGAAAATCCAGGACAAATGGAACGTTGAATCGCGATTCAACAGGCAATGTTAGCCTATTAGACCACTTGGGAAATTTGAAGCTGCAGGGGAACCAAAATCCCTCTAGTGACATAAAGAAAAAAGGCAGTGTTTTGATGGGAAACATAGTAAGACAACCTAGTGTAAGAAGCCATCAATCCGGGAATACGTTTCGCCATTCTGCAAATAAACTAGACCCTGATGCACTCAAGTCCATAGGCAATGAGCAGTATAGACAGGGAAAGTTTGAGGAAGCATTGGCTTTATATAATCAAGCAATTGAAATTGATCCAAAAAATGCTTGTTATTATAGCAACAAAAGTGCAGCTTTGATGAGTTTAGGCCGCTTAATTGAAGCAGTGCTAGCATGCAGAGAGGCCATTCGGCTAGATCCTTCTTATCACAATGCACATTTTCGTCTTGCAAGACTATACCTCAGGTACTATAATTTGAGAAGTTAGATATTTTTCTTAGATAGTGTTTTTTAACTTCATTCACTTAGTCGAAAAATTATTCATTTCAACAGACTAGGAGATGCAGAGAAAGCGATAGATCATTACAAACAATCAGGACAAAAAGTTGACAAGAAGGACATTGCCGAGGCTCATGATCTTAAGCGACAAATCATAAAATGCACAGAAGCACAGAAACTGAGAGATTACAACACATTGCTTAAGGAAACACATAATTCAATCTCCTTAGGAGCAAATTCAGCTCCGCAGGTTGAACTAACCGAGTTAATCCCTATTCTACAAGTCTAATAAAGAAAAATAGATTTTTAAAGATTCTAACTTTTTCCTTTTACTTGATTACAATCAAAGATCTTTGCCATGAGAGCTGAAGCCTTGTTGAAGTTACATAGACATGAGGAAGCATACACCACAATTCAGAATGGACCTGATTTTCAAACTAAGCTTTACACTAGCATTTTCGGTACAGAAAAAACAGCGTATTTATTAATCGTTCGAGCTGAGGCCTATGCAACTATAGGCAAGTTTGAAGATGCCATGGTTGCAGCTCAAGAAGCAGTGAAATTGGATCAAAGCAATGAAGTAACTAACACAACTCTAAGGAGAATTAAAGGGTTGGTATCAGCTCGGTTAAAAGGCAATGAGCTTTTCAAAGGAAATGAATTCTCAGAGGCTTGTTCCGTATACACTGAAGGACTAGAAAAAGAGCCATACAATTCTGTTCTACTATTTAATAGAGCAGCTTGCCGATTCAAGCTAGGACAATTTGAAAGAGCAGTAGAAGATTGCACTGCAGCTCTTGTATTACGTCCTTCCTATGCAAAGGCTAGACTGCGAAGAGCTGATTGCAACATCAAGGTAATTAATTCTTAGTGCAAAGTTTATTTTACCTATGTAGTTTTTGCTGCAATTTCAAAGTAAGCCGTGTCTCATAATAAGAATAGTATATTCCCCCTGTCCCAATTCATATGGCAAACTTTCTTTTTAATCTCTCCAAAAAATGACATGATTTGTTGGGATCCTTACCACTACTCATTTAAATAAAAAGACATGTGAAATTCTCACCATCACTCATTTTATGGGATAATTTTGGTATATATATATATATATATATATATTTGGCATTACATGTCAAAAGTCATCTTTAATTTCTTAAATTTTGTGCTCAGTCAATCATCGTATAAAATTGGAGTGAGGGACCACTTGTTTACTTCTTTTGTATATATGGTGATACAGTTGGAAAGATGGAAAGCAGCTATTCAAGATTGTGAAGTGTTGATGCAAGAAAATTCAGAGGATGATGAAGCAAGTAGGGTGTTCTTAGAGGCAAATGTTCAGCTTCAAAAGCAGCTAGTAGAGGACCATAACCAGAGTAATCTATTCTACGGTTCCAACTCCGCGCTTGTCTCCGGCTACTAACATCTCAACATTCCCTTTCATTTACTACACCAAATTAGTACCAAATCCCTACGGTTTTGTATCATGAATTACACGCGGACCCAAGATTTTGCACAAGTTAAAGACGTGTCTAATAGTATAAGTGGTGTGGGTATGACATGTAGGATTTGATCATTTTATTATCCTTTGTTTGTTCTTAATCCAATCCCAAAATGAAGTCTAAAGTTGGCACTTAGATAATTTTAACAAAATTGAAAATATTTTTAAGAAGGTTAATTTTTTTATCTATCTCTAGTTTAACAAATATTTATTAACTATATGATATTTAAATAAAGTTAGAACTTTCCTTGTTACTGACAAGAAGTTGTTATTTGCATAGAAAAGAGAACCAAAAAAAAAAGAAGTAAGAAGTGAAATTGTAAATAGACAAAGAGTTCAATTGGATGTGCTTGTTATAAGTGACTTTTAAGTCAAAAATCATAAATTAGGAATTCTAACTTCGAAAAAGGGCCAGAACGATCCCTGAACTATAGACTTAGGGTCAAATATACCCTTCGTCCACCTATTGGGCTAAAAGTACCCCGACGTTTTCTTTTTGGCTCAAAGATACCCTTATGACTAACGGCAATCTCAAAATAATAACAAAAATTTATTTAATAATGATGTGGCAGTTTTGCATTTGCCAAATTTAAACACCTGGTACAAAGACCCACTCATTTCGGACTAACCCCGACCCACACCTAAACTCTAATTGAAAAAAAAGATCCCTGATTCTTCTTCTTCATTTTAACACTCCTTTCTTCTTCGTCTTCTTCTTCTTCTTTCTTCTTCTTTCTTTTATAATTATGATTCTTCAAATTCGGGTTCTATTTAAGCATACAGAGGACTTCGAGTTCTATTGCCAGAATTGAACAATCATCTCGCGTGATAACAAGAATGTTGGGATTTGGCTACTTTATAAACAGTTCTAGATGGTAGGACTGAACCGCTAGCAACTGAGTTTGTCAAGTTCTCTGCTTTTTCCTCTCTTTTTCTCCGGGTGTATTTTTGTTTTTACCGCCATTATTCATATAAATAGTTTATGCAAAATAGTTGCTAATTCATAGTTTATGCAAGTAGAACCGTTTAAATCGAAGAACTGTTAATTGATCTTTTGACAAGTTCCTCATTTAAATATTTTCTTTTGAAATTACCAAGTTCGAAAAACTCAAATGAATTGACTAACTTGATTCGAATTAGTTTACATATAAACGGAATCAGACGGGTCGGGTTACTTGTTGGCGCGGGTTTGTCCGAAATGTGTGGGTCTTTGTAATGGGTCAGGTGTTTAAATTTGGCCAATGCAAAATTGCCACGTCATTATTAAATAAATTTTTGTTATTATTTTGAGATGGCCGTTAGTCATAAGGGTATATTTAAGCCAGAAAGAAAACGTCGGGGTACTTTTAGCCCAATAAGTGGGCGGAGGGTATATTTGACCCTAAGCCTATAATTCAGGGGTAGTTCTGGCCTTTTTCCGTTCTATCTTTTGACTTTGGGTTTATTTTTGTCACTTTAGCTTAAAAATATGTGTTTTAAAGTACTATTTTACTTTATCCAAACACTACAAAATGGGTTAAAAGCTATTTTGGCTTAAAAGCGCCAATTCAAAAGCTCAAAGTAGGGGTACTTATCGGGTGGATCGGATAGATAATTACGCTTAACGGTTCGACTTATTGTTATCGGATTATAAATACAATTATGTTGGGCATATTTTCGTATGTTTCGATATTAATTTACTCGCATTTTTACTGCTCTTTTATTGTATTTGATATTGATTATGCCCAATTTAACTTGATTAAGCAGTTTTATACTTATTTGGGTATTAATGAATAATGCAGGTACATTGAAGATAAAATACGAAGCAAAAATTATTAATCTAAAGGAGTGATCAGAAGGAGAATCTAATGGATCCAATCATCACATAATGAGTACTAGCTAATCAATACGTGATGATTGGATAAAGGTTGTAAAGGAATTGAACAAGCAGAATGAATTGAGGAATTAGCTGAAGCCGTGAAGAATTGACAGAGGCAGGCGGCGCGAGAGTTTTAATTCCTGTTTGAGCTTGCGTCGCGACTTCCAGCGCGGGTTTCGTTTTTCGAGCCTATTTTGTCTCTTTATTTATTTTCGACTTGGTTATTTTATCTGGACTATTTTCTATACCTATAAATAGTCCTTAAACATAATTTTTACACAACTTTTTATCAAGGGAGAACACAAAGTCGTCGTGGAGACCGGATTTCATCTTCTTCCGCCGAACTTAGTAATTTTTATGTTTCTTTATATGATTTGTTATTTTGCTATCATGTCTATGTGGTACTAAACTTCACGTTCTAAGGTTGTGATTCTTTCATGACTATTGTTATTCGAGTATTGATTTTAATTTCTTAGTTTATTGTATTAGTTTATTTATTCAATCATGCACTTAATTATTTGATTGCTTGATCACTAATTGAATGTTTTCTACAAATCTAGAATTAAACTCGAAAGTGGGAATTCTAGATTGCATATAGGATTGAGTAGAGCAAGTTCTTGAACCTAGGCATCGGGGAACAGATTCGCAGTTAGGATAGACATATACCTAATTGCCTTGCTTGGTTGACTTACAGGAATTATAAATGCGTTCCTGTTAGTTTTAATTCCATAGACAAATAGGTGTTATGTTAGGTTGAATAGGCGAGTAAGAACTCGACATATTCTTATGAGCAATATTAACCCTATTAACCAATAAACTAAATAAATTAGTTAGTCAATTCAATTGAAGAATACAATAGAAATGTTACATAGCCCATAACCCTAAATCGCTTTCATCACATTGATAATATAAAAATATGTTCTTCCTCTATTTAAAGTTCATTAGTTATTTTCTTTTTAGTTTAATTATTTTAGCATCAACATTTTTGGGCTTAATCCTTGTTCAGATAATTAGGATAGTCTGATCTAGTTAATAGTTAATCACAAGTCCTCGTGGGTTCGATACTCTATCTTATCACTTTATTACTTGACGATCGTGTATACTTGCGTGTGCGTTTGGCCGCAACATATAGTAATCCGCTAGCCATTCAATAAGACAACGGGCGGATTGGTATCGGATTAACAATTATCGGGCGATTTATTGGCTGAACCAAATAAAAAATTTGATATAATATTGAAATAGATTTTTTTTTTTATGGGTGATTTTATTGACTGACTTCCTGTATGCATTCTAACAGACCTTATGAGCTGGATAGAATGAAAATTCGGGTGTTAAAGTTATAAATTGGAATGGATATCGAGTCTTAGTAGTTCTTGCTACTTCAAGATGCATAGTAAAGTGTAAATATTAAAATTCTTAACGGCTTAACGGTTTATCCGATAAGAAAATTGAGTAATCCATCTCAAACCATTAAGGCGTTAATTATAAAATCTCAATTCGTTAACCATCCATTACCTCAATAATCCGATACCAATAAGCCAATAAGTCATCGGTTCGGTTTGATTTTGAACAACCGTAGCTCAAAGTTCCACACATTCCGTTCCCAATACGGCTTAAACTATTAATAGGTACATGCCCTAGATGGATTTGAACCCAGCATCTGTTAGTCATTTTGAACCTGCTCAACCACCTCCACCGGGAGAATGTTTGTGCTAAGCAGATTCAAATTAGTTATTATAAATAAATTTTCCTTTTTTTTAAAATATAATTTATCCATATACTCAGTATAATTTTTCAATGAAACGGGTTCAACTAAACCCCTTGACATCATGTGGGTCTGCCCCTGACCACACTACACAAAAATATTTAATAACTTTAGTCATAAAAAAATTTGTTCAAATTATCATTTCTTTATCTTTAAACATCCGACTTTATTAATGCTCTATCCGGTCCGTTTTAATTGATTTTTTTTTTGTTCTTTTTTGTGGTCAACAATATTTGATTTTTTCAAATATCAAAAGGAAATTAACTTCTTTTTTTCAAAGTTATCTTTTGAGTAAAGAGCCTAGGAGTATTGTTATATATTCAATGAACAAATTAAGGTTAATATGATCAATTTCATTGTTGATTAATGCTAAAGATGAATTCCTTAATACGTGTGAAAACAACCAAAAAATCAATTAAAGTGGAACGGAGGGAATACTAAACTAATTGAAACAATATGGATAGATATGGGGGAAAAAATAACAAGTGACTTCTTATTTTTCTAAAACGCCAAATAAACAACAAGAACAACAACAACAACAACAACAACAACCCAGTATAATCCCATTAGTGGGGTCTGGGGAGGGTAGTGTGTACGCAGACCTTACCCCTACCATGAGGTAGAGAGGCTATTTCCAATAGACCCTCGGCATTCTTCCCTCCAAGAACTTCCCACCTTGCTCTTGGGGTGACTCAAACTCACAACCTCTTGGTTGGAAATGGAGATTGCTTACCATCATAGCAACCCCTCTTGTCTAAAACGCCAAATATATCAAAACAAATTCAGTTTATCAAAATCATCAACATTTGTGACCGAAGAAAGTAATAACTATCTATCATTAGTATAAAGAAGTTCTTTAAAAAAAACTTAATTTAATTTCCACCTTGTAGGCTTTAAGTTATTGGGGAGGCTCGCAACTATCACAGCTGTTAAGTACTCTGCTCGTAATCGTAACCATAACTCAATTTTAGAGATATGGGCAAGTCAAGAAAAACCACATCACTTTTAAGAACAGAAAAAGAGTGAAAGAAAAGCAACATATTAGTGAGCACCCCAACAAAAAATAAGGAGAAAAAACCAACTAAAGAACCTAACTTTCATTTATAAACCAAATAAATTCAAAATTAGCTAGTTTATGAACTGATATTACGTTTTGAGACACCACTGGCTCCCTTTTTCAAAAAACAATGATTGATTGACCTTCAAATTTAACTAGGGGTGTCAATCTGAGCCCAAACTCAACCAACCCGTCCAACCCGCTCAGAGATTAATGGGTCGGGCTATAATATTTTAATTTATGGGTCAATTTGGGCTGAACCCAAGTTAAATCATTATTTGTTTTAGCCCATTCTGACCCATGAAACTCACCCCAAAACAAAGGGATCTCAACCCAACTTATCTAGAAATTTACTTAGTTACCATACACTCACCCCACCCCAACCTGCAAAAAAAAAATTACATTTTTTTTTATTTTTAATTTTTTATTTTCTGTTTTTNCCCACCTCGCAATATTATTTTTTATATTTTTTATTTTTTA